TTTGAAAAATTCATGACTTTGAAAAATAACTTTAACTATGTTTTTCAATGTTGAAAATTTTGACCTCCTGTTAAATTTTTTAACTAGACATTGAACGAACTTGTTTCTGTTTATCATCTCTAAAAAATGGCTTTAATACTAGACGTAGGATCTCAAAATAAACTTAAACACAAAGATTTAATCAAAAAAAAAAATTAAGGAAAAAGACGGAGCAAAAGATCGTGAAAACATCACGTCAAAAAACAAAAGAATTCTCCAAAATCAAAAGTTACTGTTATTTTACTCACACCTCATGTTCATGGCTAACAATCAAAAAAATTAAAATACCAAAGCCAAGAAGAAATTCTATACTAAATATAATTTTAATAAAAAAATAATTTTAATGGGCAAGAATCCCATGTGGACTAGAAACTCCTAAACCAACTAAAATTCATAATTATCTCGATAAGAATTTAGGTTAAACTCCAAAAAAAATAGTGGAATAATTTTTAATATCTTTCTCATAAAGAAATTGTTGAGGAAGCCTAGGAGGACATAAAGTGAAGTGAATCAAAATAATTAAGCCAAGGTACATTGTACACATTGGGGCGATTTGACTATCTACCTGATTCTGGACATTTGCTCTCCCACGGGTCCACTTGAATATCTAAATCAATAGTATGAAAGATGAAAAATAAATTTGACAAATTAAAAATAATATTTAATTTAAATACACATATATTTAATATTTTTATTAATTTTTATAAACAAAAAATATTCACGTGCGTTGTACGTGGTGCATTACTAGTTGTTAAAAACCGAGTCTAAGGCACTAAATTTGATCATGTGACCTCACATTTTTAGCACCTTTTATTTCCTAGGTAGGGATGCTAAGAAACCAAGGAAACCCACCTGGCCAAAATAAGTAAATAAATAAATATTTTTTTTTTCCATATAAGGGATTATTTCAAATATTTATTAACACTACCGTTGCCTCTAACTTATTCTCTTCACTTTTTGACATAAAAATGAATCTATAAGACATATGCCTATAATAAAAAGTGTATTTTGCAAACTCATTTTTAATTTAAAGATGCTTAAAGACGTGTTTTGGAAACAAATGATTTTATAGTAAAAATCGAGAATTTAAATCTAGTTCTCATTCAACGAGCGGTAAGTTGGACACAAATTGAGCATTACTTCAAATAAAAAATTCCAGTCGAGACACCATGTCATCAGTGTCACTTAGTGTTATCAATCAATTCTGAATAAACATTAAGAATTAATAGATTCTCCCAAATTTTATAACCGCCCATAACTCACTATGTAGGGATTAATGCGGTTCGTTTGCCTTACTTATTTGTTTGTTGTTAGTCGGTGATCGATACCACCTATCAATAATAAATCACGTAACATAAATAATGAAGTGTAATCGTTCTGAATATTTACTCCATGTTGAGGGCCCTCCTATGGTCCCTTTGTAGCTCAATGTACACTACCTATCAATGCAACCTTATATAATAAGTAAAAATATAACAAAAGTACTTGAAAGTACGATGCATGTACAAATAGAAAAATCAGGATGGCATGATATGCTGAGGAATGGAGTCATGTGTATATGTAATGTTTGGGTAGAGACATATATGCATGTGGAGGATAAGGATGAGCACATGCAGTAAGTGACCTGTACATTACTGTTTCTGCAGGCTGTTTGGGATAATATATCCAAAGCCCTCACCATGGTTTGGTGTCCATGTCTGGGGATCTTTCCATGTTATTTGGTTACAAGCTCCAATTATTCATGTCTCCCTCCTCACTATCCCCGATCCTTCACTGACAATGACTTTGTTGTTTTTAAATACATAAGCTCTGCTCAATTGCCCAATGGGGGTGCCACATGAATTAAACATAAGGCCGACAATCGGGATGAGTTATACGAATTTGAGCTGAGTTTGTCGAGCTCATTTTTTTAAATAAGTCTAAAAAATTGTTCAAACTTGACTCATTTAAAAAATAAGATGAGTCCAAACAAGCCGAACCTGAATATCTCGATTATTTTACATATAAAAAAGTCGAGTCTTTTAAACTCATTCGAGTCTAAAAAATTGTTCAAGTTCGGCTCGTGTTTTCATTTAGAACACTAGCCGAGCTTGAGTCAAGTCCTATCTGAGTCAAGCCCGAGTAAACAGGCTCAATTATCAGACCTAACTGCACATGACTTACGATAAGATTATGATAGTAAAAAGTTACTTTTTAGTATCATAGCCCTATACTATGATTGGTGGAAAAACTTAATTATTTCGGTAATATAGAATCGTCTCATTGACATGTTTTTTGGACTAATTGTTACGACACAATTAACCGCAAACCTCATGAATTGGTTAAACTTGAATTTTACACAATTAATAAGTTTCGAACAAACGATGTATCGGGTTTATACTTTGACTTCTTTTTTGAACTATAGAACCAATTTGTACCGGTTAGAAAGAGAAATCAGAAAAATTTTGAATTTTGAATGAAAGTGTAATTTATTTTCCATCAATGTCATTACCATTCAAGCTGGCGAATTTGCAGTCATTTAAGATAGGTGGGGTATTCATGGTAGGTAATGCATAAAGCTAAGCATTTGCTTGGTTAAGTGGAATGGTTGGGTGGTCGATCATCTTCTTTCAGGTAGCGATATGGCTCCAACCAATAATAGAATTGAACTGCAACCATTGATAAGGGATGTGTTTGATAAGACTTAATTGAACTTATTTGTAAGTTTTGAGTGTATATACTTGGTTCAAAATTAAAAAACGCGGGCGTGTCAGAGCTCTCAGTAGCTTTAAGATTTTTAAACATAATGACCTATATTTATGGTGTAAAGAATAGTTAATCGTCTAATCGATTGTTGTGACTTTCTCTAGTTCACTATAAACCAGTAGAAAGTCACTCTCATGAACTCCATTCTGTCATGCTCCTTTCACGTGGCCTATGGCCATAAGATAGTCAGTTCAAAGGAATTAGGTTCTCTTAAGGTGGAGAGTAGGTATAGTTACCTTCTAATAAATTCCTGTAGAGTAAAATCAAATGGATATCCTGTCAATCTGTCATTTGTGTGTGAAGGAAGGTATAACACCAAGCCACATGATAACAACCTCAGCTCAGTTGAGGGGAAGAGTATGCATAAATAGGTACGGAGTAGCGTCGACATCAAACTCGTTCATGTCTTCGAAATTTCTAGCTCTACCACTGTGTTTAAATAAACTTTTCTATATCATGGCCTCGACCGGCTTAAAAAAATTAAAACCGAGATAGATTGCACCTNCATGATAACAACCTCAGCTCAGTTGAGGGGAAGAGTATGCATAAATAGGTACGGAGTCGCGTCGACATCAAACTCGTTCATGTCTTCGAAATTTCTAGCTCCACCACTGTGTTTAAATAAACTTTTCTATATCATGGCCTCGACCAGCTTAAAAAAATTAAAACCGAGATAGATTGCACCCGATTAATCTTACCATCAAATCTTAAAAATCTTATGAGTTTGAGTAATGAAATAGTCTCTGTACTATCCATAGGATAAGATTATATATATAAATATATAATTCTCTGAGAAAAGTATAGTGTCTTTGTCTTTCTTAATTAGCTGGAGTGAGTTCATTACCCAAATGAGGGCATACCACTTCTGAGAGGATGTGACTGTGTTGTTCAACAAACCCGTATTAGTTAATTAGCAAAGCACGTGGCTGCTAGTAGCCTATTTGGGCTACTACTTCATAGGCTTTCACTACATCTCTATGTCTAATCTCTTTGGTCTTATTATCATAAGATTTTAGTGCCAGAGAGCCAAGTCAAACGATTAATCTGCACCGGTGAAACTTCCTAAGGTGTTTCATAATCGAACTAGAAACGAAAATTTATATGTTCGGATTTCGAGGTTTTTTGATAGGATAAAATTAAAATTTAATTGATGATGTGCGTGATTTATAGATGATAGCATGTATTCCAAGTTTGTACCGCAATTATGAAACTAAAGAACGAATCGTTGAAACTATTCTCCAATTAAAAAAAAAAAAGAATTCTTCAAAGAAAGTCAAATCCCTCAAGAGTAGAGAAGTGCTATGTGATTCTTGATGGTTAGGACGAGGCCCACAACTTTAAGGGCAAGGCCCAGTACACAGTTAGTAAGCCTTGCCAATGCTTCCCCTCTGGTCCATGTATTTGGGTGTATGCCTTTTTTCACTTTTGGGCCCAATCCTGGCCCGGATTTAACTGTAATCTTTATGACTGAGCCCAAGATGCTATGCTTCCCAGTGCTTAAATTCAAGCTTCTTTTTTTTTTTTTTGAGATAAAAAAAGCTTTTGAGTCAACCATAGTGCAGGCATACTGGACAGTTAGCTCATATGATGCTCAATTTTACAACTTCTTTACCCAAAAAAAAAAAAGAAAAAAATGAATAAAAAAATAACTTAAAACTTCTTTTTTCTGTAACGGAGAATCGTTCTAACCACGTGTTTTTTAAACTCATAATTATAATGTAAATTTCAAATCTATACAATTATCTACAAAATACATGTATCGATTAAACTCGAATTCTGAGATTACCGAATTGCTTTCGTTTTAATTGTTGACATCAATTATTGGAGGATATCCATCACAAGAAGGGACCAAAAATTCATCAGCCAATAACTAAATGAACCCATGACCCACCTCAACCAACCAACCAAATTGAAGATAGAAGGTATTAGACCCGTGAACTATGTGCATAAAAAGCCACTAAAATCAAGTAAGAAGTCTCCTAACAAAGGCACGAGATTTAAATGAGACCAAGTGTTCTTTGTTTCCCAACCTCAATTTCCCTGAAATAAAGTCAATAGGGTCCGTGAATCTTTAACTCATCAAGAAACCATTTTAATTGGCTATATATATGGGCAATTGTACTGTAAGAGACAGAGATAGGAACATTGTTGGTGGTGATGGGCTGCAGCAACCACCCCATATATTTGCATGAAAGTTTAGGGCTTGTGTTTCATCCATGGCTAACTTCTGCTGCTCCATTGAAACCGAACCTAGGACCTTGAATCAAGGACAACTAACCCATGCCAGGGTAATACTATCTTTCTCTTCACTGTTTTCTTTTTCATTGTATATATATATTCAGAGTTCTTTCTTTGTTGTTTGCTTGTGCTCATGGAAGATAATAGCAGTATTACTTTACAAATTGTTTCATGGAGCAGCAGTTAGTTGGATATAGGTCTCCTTCAATAGTTTTTTTTTTCCTCTGTTTCTCTTCTTGGTAGAACATTCATCGTTAATGATAGGTGATTCAGGAAAATCGAGAGAATCTAAATTTCATAGTATCAGTAGTTTCGTACACTGAGCTATTCTTGTAGCATGAAAAAAGTATTGTATTGGTAGTTTCATCAAAACGCTTGAAGGTTTCATGATTGATGAACCAAATCCCTTGAATGCATATTTATTATGAGCCATAATGTAGTCATGATATTAGCCACTAACGATGATTGGATGATCTCATATTATTTCTCACCCTGTCATTATCTGTGTTCTTCAATCCACTTAACGAACAGTTCATCCATTTTCGTACTTTCGGTATTCAATGTAAAATAAACAATACAATAAAACATCGATAAGAAAAAGCCCTTATGGACATTGTGTTTATAGATATAGAGGAAGTTTGCTCAAACATGGATAAAATAAGTTAGTTTTCATTAACTTTTCCCTTCCTTCTGATGCAGGAAGCTGCTGTTGACATAGTTCAAAAGAAGGAACCAAAGGAAGCCTCAAGTGTTTTTGTTGAGGTGTGCCTTTATGAGACATGAAATTCCCTTTTCTTTTCTCTTTTTTATGTCATGTCAGGCACTATTACACAGAGGGGAACGACAAGGTTCGAACCCATGCCTAACGACAGCCATTAGGCCAACCGCTAAGCTCATGGGACATAGAATTCAATTACACAACATTAATTTCACATATATGATTAGCTAAAATTAGAGGAGCTGCTTGTTTAATGTATGTGCAGGGGATGAAACCAGTTGTCGCTATCAAGGAGATGGCTCAGGTGATGGTTCTGGAGAGAGATTCACTTTGCAATCTAGATGAGTCCAACAAGAAGACCAATGTTATTGAAACAGCTTGCCAGTGCTCATGCCCTTCTGCTGTTATAGATTCCCCAGATGAAGCTAAATTTAAGGAGCCCCTCTCAGCTCCTTTCTAAGTCTTCTACTCTACTGTAATAAGATTAGGGGCTGTCAATGGGTCTTTGTAATGTCATGTATATATATAATTGTGTTTAGCTGAGAATAAGTCATGTTAAGCCCAGTTCGGGGCAATCCGTTCATTTAATAGGTTTGACATGTTAACCCACTTATAATCCGCACATGTGAGGGTTATAATCAAACACATTATTTTGTGTTAATTTCGTGTCAAGTTAGCTGATCAGGTTAAGACTTGTCAACTTCAAATAGGAGGGGAACATTCTAGAGGAAGGTCCTGCAAGCACTGTTATGCATAAATCTCAATATTCTGCTAAAGAATTTCTCTGCATGCTATTTATTCAAGGTGAGATATATTGGCAAAGATAGTGGGATTTCATCAGCTCACTAAGAGGACTAAAGGCTAATTGTATTGAACCCATTAACATGCTGCAATTTCAGATTATTCCTCAGCCCAAATATAAAATTGTTCTGAATTCATTTGTTTAACTGTTCACAAAAAGGTGATTATATTGATCTTAAACTTTTTCCAAACTTGTTTACCCAAAAAAAAAAAACTTTTTCCCCACTCCAACTGAATGGAATGATGAACAAAGGAGAATTTGGATCAAGACCTAGTTTACTAATTTTGGAAAATCCCAACCAATCAAGCAATGCCAATATGCAGATTGAGAGGATTATCGAAAACTGAATTAAAAAAAAAAAAAACAATTTTTATTTTTTACTTTTTTTGAATAGAGAAATATGAAAATGTTTCCGAATGCGACTTTAACTTTTAGCCACTTTGGATTTAAGAATACGAATTCTAGTCACAAAGCTATGTTGTAATTAGTTAGAATACCGTTGGAAAGTTTAATTATAAACACAAAAATAAACTATTATTAGTGTTAATTAAACATAACCACCATTTGATGTTTGGAAGGCCGTTGGGATTTTCATCTTTTATTTTGACAATAAGTTCCCACCAAATATTGTAACACATTATTTCACCATTTTGTTTGAGATTTAGTATGATTTATTTTCACTTTTCTTGGGGTTTTTTTTTTCCCCTTTTCCTCTCTTTTCATACTGTTTTAGTTTATGATAATAATCTTGGTTAATTGGGTTTACAAGATATGTGGTGTGAGCATGAGGGGTTCTTGTCACTGATTTCTACAAATTGGGGTGGTGAGTATTCTAATAATCCGATTTCTAATTTGTTTATCAGGCTGAAATATCTGAAAGCTCATATGAAGTTACGGAATAAGGAGGTATTTGGCAATGTGTTTGATAATATAAGGAAGCAAGATCAAAAAATTCAATTGGTAGAAATGGAGTTGGATCAGGAATTCAGTTTATCCAAATCTTTGGTGCTTGATAATCTTAAAAAAGATTTGGATGAGTTACTTAGAAGAGAGGAAATTTACTGGAGGCAAAAAGCTAATATAAAGTGCGCCATGGAGGGAGAGAGGAATACCAGATTTTTTCAGGCTATTGCTAAAAGTAAGGTGGTTAGGAACAAAGTCTCCAGAATTCAAAATGAGGAGGGTGTTTGGGTATATGGGGCTCAGGAGATAGCTAGGGTTGCTGAGAGATTCTATGCTAATTGGTATAAATTAGAAGATCATAGTCTTCAGGATGAGGTTTTCTCAGTGATTCCTTGCTTGGTGAGTCAGGTGGAAAATGACAGACTGGTTGCTGAAGCTTCTATTGATGAGGCGAGGAGTGTTGTTTTTTCTATGGCAATTGGAAGTGCTCCTGGACCAGATAGTTTATCTGGTAAATTTTTTCAATTTATCTGGGAGGTTAATAAGGAGGATGTTTGGAAGGCAGTTAATATTTTGTTGAAAGGAGGAGAGGTTCCTAAATCTGTCAATTGTACTTTTTTAGTGTTGATTCCGAATAAAGTTGTTCCTATAACTTTTTCTGATTTCAGACCTATTAGCTTATGTAACTTCTTATATAAGATTTTTACTAAGCTAATCACTATGAGGCTGGCTTCTCTGCTTCCTGTTTTGATATTTAAGGGGCAACATGGATTTGTGTAAGGGAGAGGCATTGGGGATTGTGTTTCCCTAGGATAGCTTTTGGTGGGAGAGTTACATAGGAAGGTTGAGGGGGGTAATATGGTTATGAAGCTTGACATGATGAAGGCGTATGACAAATTAGAATGGGATTTCTTGCTAAAAGTTTTGGCTTTTCAAGTTTGATTGTTCAGATAGTATCTAACTGTCTAAAAAACCAACACTTTTCTATTTGTTTGAATGGTTTGAGATATGATTACTTTTCTAACTCTAGAGGTTTGAAACAGGGGATCCTTTTCCCCCTTCTCTTTTTATTATGGCTGAGGAGGTATTAAGCAGGGGGCTAAGGAGTATTTTCCAAATGGGGTTGGTTTCTCATTATCATATTGGGAGAGGGACTACCTTGGTAAGTCATCTGCTCTTTACAGATGATACCTTGGTTTTCTTGAGGGGTTATAAGAGGTCTGTGGTGAATGTGATGCAGTTTATTGGTGTGTATGAAGGATGTTTTGGCCAGAAGGTGAACAGAGCTAAGAGTGCATTGTATTGTTCTGTAAGAATTCCTTTGGCTAGAAGGAATATGATCTCATCTCTAATGGGTATTCCTATTAGGTGTTGTCCATTTACCTATCTAGGATGTCTTTTAATTAGGGGCAGATCTAGAAATTGTTACTTTGAAGAGGTGATGGGTTGTTTTAGAAGCAGAATTAAAGGTTGGCATCGAAGAATGTTGTCTGGTATGGGGAGAGTTGTTATGGTTCAGTCAGTTTTAAATGCTATACCCATTCATATGTTAGCTTGTATATGTATTCCTAAAGGGGTCTTGGCTAAATTGAACGCTCTAATTGCTAGATTTTTGTGGTCTAATAAACTGGATAGCAGAAGAAGGCATTGGGTGTCTTTGGAGAGGATTTCTAAGACTATAGCAGAAGGTGGTCTGGTTATTAGGAAGTTCGAGGAGGTTCAATCTACTTTTAGAGTTAAGCATGTGTGGGGAATTTTAAATGGAAATTATCTGTGGGCTAAGGTCTTTAGAAGCAAATTTCTAAAGAGCCATCATGTGCTGAGATGTGGTGAAATGAGAGGTGGCAGAAGCTTTAAGTGCTTGAGGCATTGGTTTGATTTTACTGTAAATAATTCTTTTGTTATCATTGGGGATGGTAAAACTGTCGATTCTAGTGTGATCCATGGATAGAGGCTGGTCCTTTAACCCATAGAATAGAGATTATTCCATAGGAGTTTCCTAAAATGTGTGAGGTTTGGGATGAAAGTGGATGGTCATTGGCAGAGATTGTTGGGTTGCTGACTCCTCAATTAGTTGTTGAAATTATGAATTCTGGTGTGGTTTTGATAGAACAATTTGATAGGAGAGTGTGGAAACATACTAATTCAAGTAGTTTCTCTGTTAAATCTGTTTGGAATCTAGTAAGGAGGATGGGAGAGGTGAATGAAATTGCTAAGGGAATTTGGAATTAGAGGGTTTTTCCTAGTGCCTAGTTTTGTGGGTGGAAAATTTTTAGAAATGCTTTGTCTCTGGATTCCAGGGTGCAAAGTATGGGTGTGGCTTTGGCAAGTAGATGTCATTTGTGTTTGGAAGGTGAGAAAACACCTATTCATTTGTTTATTAATTGTCCTTTTGCTCAAGTAGTATGGAACAGGGTGGTTGCAATTATGGGTTTTGGGGTTTTGCTTGGAGAGAACCCTATGTGCAGATTTTTGAGATTGCTCAAGAGGTTTTAAGGCTCAATCTGTGAGTCAGGGGTTGATTAGAGGAGTGTCTCTCTTAATTTTTTGGGCATTGTGGAAGGAGAGGTGCAAAAGAAGATTTGAGGGGGTTTCATTAAATTCTTATGCTATCTATTTACAGGTGGTTAATGCTATGAGACTACAAGCTGTTCTGTTGAAACCTAAGAGAGCAGATGATGGTATGGGGAGAGAGTTGTTTTCTGATTTGAGGATTGGGTCTTTGTTTTATGTGGAGGATAGGATAAAATGGATTAAATGGGATCCTCCTCCCATAGGAATGATGAAGTTAAATGTTAATGGCGCTACCAAAGGGAGTACTAGTTTGTCTGGGGGTGAAGTGGTGTTGAGAAACCAGGAAGGGCATGTGATCTTGGCCTCTACTAGGTTCTATGGTTCAGAATCTAATATGCAGACTGAGTGTCTGGCTTTGCTAGATGGTTTGTGTGAGACCCAATCATGCATTGCATGCATATGAACATAATTTTGTGGGTTAAATTATAATTATGTGAAATTATTAAAGAGTTAATTAAATTAAATCTTTCATAGTCATGATGTGTGTGAGCATATATTGGCTATGTGGACCCCGTTAGTGATATATTAGTAAGACCATTGATAGAAATTTTATGTGTGAAAATATTAATGGGTCGATTTTAAAATTACTTAAAAACTTGGGGGAGGCAAACATAATTATTAATTTGCATGAAACATTTTTTACATGTGTTTGCATGTGAAAAGGGTGAGTCATGTGGGGTTGTTAAGTGGCTGTTTGTGTGAGTGCCAAGTGTGAGTGTGTGTGTTTTAGAGTGAAGAAATATGTGTGTGTAACTCAAGTGTAGCCGTGTGTGTGTGTGTGTGTGTGTCTAAAAGATAAAAATAGTGTGTGTGTCCTGGCTTTGCTGGAAAAACCGAGAAAAGGAGAGTAGAAACTAA